CAATTTGGAGTCACTCAAGATATCCTTGATTAAGGCAGCCGCCGATATTGACATGGACCTCGTTCGTGCTGCGATAGACGACTGGCCGCGCAGATTGTAGGCCTGTATTCAAAATCACGGAGATCATTTTGAATAAACTTTAGTGTCATAAGAATCTTTGTACCAAACCCGATCGAAAGCTTCTGCTATGTCCAAACTAATGGCCAACGCCTTCGCCTTGGGCTCCACTGCCTTCGCCCATCTATGGGTTAGGTAACCTATAAGATCACCAGCTGAGTGACCTCGACGAAAACCGTAACGCGGTCACTAAACACCTGGTACATCCATGCTACAGCTATTACAGGTATATTTGTAGCACGAATGGGTCGGCTCGACCGGGGAAGGACCACGTTCTCACAAAATACCAGCGTAAAATACCAGCTAAACACTGCTGTGTTTCGTATGGTGAGTGTAGAGAACCGAAGACCCCTTTTACTGGAAAAGAGGCATCCCATCTTAGTCCCCACGGGTCATAACGCATCTGTATTTTGATTCTTTATTTAGGATATATGTAGATGTCTATGGGTCACAGCAACCACTTACCATCACATAGACTATGTGCTCGTTTGTCACCCATATTCTTTAAAAAAATCCTCAAGGTACCGCATGAGGTGGTAGTAAATAATGGTTTCCATTACTCCGGAGAACAAGGAGGTGATAGCGATAAGCCTGTAGTTGGACGAATCGCAGTGGTCGCCTTTTTAGGGATCGGGTGCACCAAAGCTGTTTTCTATGAGTTCGGTACTACGCCTAGGAATACCGGAGAAAACACGTTAAAAACGGTACCAACTCCAGAGCACATGTCTTCGACACAATAGGTGAATAATGATTCTAGCACAAACATATTTGCATGCATATTCCCATGCAGATAAAACTAAAACTTGGAAAATAGATACTGATAATAGAAAAATGAAAATAATAGAAAATAGAAAATTGATGCGTGAATGCTTCACCAAATTCGGTTTTAACTTATTGCTCTTTTATAAAATTCTATAGTTTTCATGAATTTAAAATTCGGATAAACTGAAAGTAATGGCAATGTTCGAAAGTACGTGCAAAAGTAGATGCTAATAGCTTTTATGTTACATTTTTTTAAAGGTTAGAAAGATTCAAATAAAATAATTTGAAATTCACTTTTAGTAATTACCTAAGTTCAATAATATTTGGTCCATTAATTACACTGAATTTTAAATTTGTTAACTCTATAAATATTTAAAACTTTTCTTATTTTATCGCGTTTTATTTAACTTAGTTTTACTTTTTTAACTCTCAACGTTTTTTCCAATGTGTTTATTCGTTTAAATATAAGAAATCATTAAAAGCAAGTCTCGGATTCTAGGATTCCTACGGTAGGCAACTCAGCATCACCCTCCAACCTGTTTTTGTCGACATGCAGCTGTACTCTTACTCTTGCACTGCTGTGTGTCGGTTAGAATCGTAAGAGAGCCAGATTAATTATATGCTGTGAGGCATTGCATTTACTCGTAAGTAAACACATTTATATGGTAAATTTACTTATGCTATATTTACTTTTGCTGCATGGTCCATTAATTTTAAACTGTTTTTATTAAAAGGCTAGGCTAGGCGCTAGGTTATTTGCCCTTTCTTTACACGACACAGGTATTTTCCCGGTCACAAATTATTTAAAGAATACTGTTGACAAATGAGTAAATAATCCACCTAATATTAAGAGATTTCTAAACATCGACATGAATCCTCAATTTAGAATAAAACTTCATATGCTTTTTTCATATGCTTTGTCACTTTTGAAGACGAAGAATTCTTCGCTTCCATTAAAACAAATCCCCGGTTATTTACGTTCACGATACGATACACAACAGCATTAAGCTGCTATTTTACGCTGGTATTCTGTGAGATCATGATCCTTCCTCAGTCCAGTCGGACCGTACGCACTACAGCTATAATATAGCTCTACTACGGCTCCACCACGTAAAATGTTCAATAAATATATATTTTTTTTTGAAACTGATATAAGAAACTATCTAAGATTTCACTTGATGGTAAGTAGCTACTTCAGTCCATGGGTTTCCATACAGTCAACTTCAAACAAAGAACGCATCCCCCTCCGACCGAAACACATCACTGCAAGCATTTGGTGACAGAAATAGGTAAAAGGTTATTTCCTACCCGGACGGATACGTAGGCAAGAAATAATGTACTGATGAATTATTTAGTGTCTGTGCATTTTGTAATTTTCTATAATATCTGAAAGGTTCGTCCTTGTTATCAACAGCTAGGACAAAATGGTCATCTTTTGTAAGTTGCATCTTAAAAAGTCAAAAGGAATTGCATTTAAAACAACCTTTTGACGTCATGAAGGGTTTCGACGGGAAAATAATATCAAAGTTCGCGTCCAAGAGTTGTAATCCAGCAAAAATGAAAAAACTTTTATTATTGTCTAATATTTCGGGCTTTCCCAGTAAAAGACGACTTTGTTTGCCACTGAATTAAGATTCTTGTTTATTTATAGCAATAGCCAAATGTTATATTTTGAATTTATTTTCGGTACAATTTCTAATAATCTAGTACTGCTGTATAAGAATATCCACTAACACATTTCGTCCCGGCGCAAACAAACTAGGAGATGGGTAGCAGCGTCTTCCTAATAACAATTAAAAATAAAAAAAAACTGCGGTTGCCAACCCTCTTCCCAAGCTTGGCAACTATTGCAAATATTCTTCCTATGAGGCAATTCATTGGGAAGGCTTATGTTCAGCTTTAATAGGTTGCAACAACAATGGAAGTAATACAGGCTATTTGCTTGTGGTGACGCAAGAGAACCCATCATCCCATTTCGTCCCGTGGATGACATAAGAGGTGACTATGGAAAATTCCATGAAAAAGATAGACAATAGTATAACCATATAGTTAACGCCAGACGTATTATACCCAGACAGGCAACGGGCAGCAGAGTCAAAGGTGAGAGACGTCTATTACTGCTATCCAAGCGTTTAAGGTGAATCCTCCTTACAATTATCTGCTGCATACTATTGCTGGCTGATAAAAAGAAACATGGCCTGTTGTAACACATTTTAAAAGTATTTGAAATCACTTTAGTCAATAAAACATTTCAAACCGTCTTTTAGCTACTACTTTGGCTGTGAAAAGAAACGAGGAGGTATTCCACCGGATGCGGAGATCAGTCTTTGGGGCGGCCAACGATTCGTGTAGTAGGGAGCTTATTCCATATAAGACATAATATATACAGAGCCGTTCGACAACGCAGATAACGTGATTAAAGCTTCCGGTGTGGCTGATTTGCTTACGTTAATGTGGCGTGATGACAGCGTTGCCACACTATTACTGCCGCCATAAGGAAAAAGGACGTTTCTACATAAAGTATGAAACAGAGAAAAAAAATAAAATGTATTTAAAAAACAAAAAAAATGCGCTGTGTGAAAGGAAATAAACCAAATAATAATTTTGTGGTGTAAAAGTTTGTATTAGTGTTTGATCTATCAGCAATTATATGTAAATTTTAATTAAATAAATTTTATGTATTCAATAAATTACTTTTTCTTTTTCTTTTTAGTAAATAAAATGAAAGAAAATACTTGATACGGCAATGAAAAGACGCTTCTGGCTAGAAACGTCCTTTCAACTTAGTATTTTTTTAAACGTCTTTCCTACTTAGTGATAATGTGTTACCAGATTCTGGTTAACTAAATAAAAAGACGTTAATAGCCATTTGCTGCTTTTCAACTTAGTAATACTAATATTCAATTAACTAAAAAATAATAATATCCTGCACATTGTTAGATCACCAACAACCCTAAACCTTATTAAAACTGAAGTACGTTTTAACATGACAATTATCATGTATTAAATAAAACACAAAGTATGAGAATCAGGCTTATATTTCTTTTTAAAGAATATAAAAATAGCAATTACAAACCTCTCATAAAATAAAGTTAAACTCAAAACTCGCGTTAAACTCTTCTATTAGAAACACAAATTAAGTATCAAAACAATCTAAGTTTGTATTTATAATTAATAATAATAATCACAGCTTTTTAAGGAATCTCTTATATTGAAGTCTCAATCTTATACTGGAGTGAGATCAAACTAACACTACGACTAATGTGTTATACATAAAATAAAAAAAAACAATAATAGCAATAACAAACCTCTCTCAACTTATAGCTACTCTAAGTTACTCTTCTAAAAACAAATATTAAAAAATCTACTACTTTCTAACTATCTAAGTTTGAACAAATTATACTTAATATAAGCAATTATCACAGCTTTATAACTCTTGTAAATTTAGTCTTCATCAATTACTTGAGTCAGATCAACACTATTTTATCAGTGGGTAGATTATTCCAAAACGGTTTTCTGTTGTCTCGCATTAAGGGTGTCAGTTTTTGTATGATCGCTGTCTTGCGCTCTTCAGTAATGCCTCTATACTGATTTTTTGGTTTTGGAGGTGTCAAGTCAAGTGAGTATTCTTCTTAATTGTGGAAAACAGTCTTATAATAAATGATGTGGGTGCCTCTAAGGAATGTTACTTCACACATATCACATAAATAAGCACGAGGGGAAGAATTTTGTAGTTTGTAAGTTGTAGAACATTCTTGAAACTGAAAAAAATCATCCATATTCATTACTTTAACGATAATATTTGTTCTGGTGTTCGATACTGCTTGATGAAAGTCTTCGAAATCATAGATGTGTTTCTTCCTCTTCATAGATTGCTCCACTTGATGATGGAATTCGTCTGCTGCCATGTGCGTGTGGCCTACCTCTAAATATTTTAATGTAATCGTTTCATAATTGACTTCGACTGAATTAACAAGATAGAGCAAATATACAAACTCCAATTTTTATTCTGGGCTGCACAGTTATATAACCAGATGACTACATTTTTCAGGTCTCTATTTGCCTGCAAAAAAGCTCTGAAACAGCTTATTATGTCACTCATTTTGCGACCAGCAATTGCTTCATGCCATATCGCAGCATAGGTTTGCAAAGTAGCATTGTTTTTTTTTGTCACCTATTGGCACAAAACTTTCATTGAATGCGATTACTCTTGGGAAAAACATTACAATTTTAAATTCTTCAATGCGTGGAAGCATAATTATTTTCTCTAAATCAGCTGCAAAATAGGTGGTATCTGAGGTGATGTTTGCGTTATTTTGTTTTTCTACATCTTTTTTGTATGCTTCCCTGGCTGATGTATATTTTTCCCGGTGTCGTTCGTAATCTCGGCATTCTTGACAATTTCTGTGTCTTTTCTCCTTGTATTCCGGATTGTGGATAAAAAACTTTTCACACGCCTCACACTCTTCATGTCCAAGTTTTGTAAAACATATATTTAACTTCTTCACAACTTTTCTGTAGAAGTCATAAGAAATCTGTTCGTGAACAGGAAGGTCTTTCATGTTTTATTGTTCGTAAAAGTCTCGATACATTCTGGTCACTGTTAGGTCAGACGGAAGATATTTTCTATTTGGAGCGTGCTCTCGTCTGTAGTGGGAAATTGAAGGATTAAAAGAATTTATATGTTCTACAATTTTAGTGTCGTCCAACTTTTTTGGATTAGGATTGGTTCTTCGCTTATCAACTGGAATGTTGTTTGTTATGGTGCATAAGGCGTTTCTTACAGATTTATCATTTTTTCGACTGTAACCCAGTGTTTCTAGAAAAAATACTTTGCAAACATTCACTTTTACCCCTATTTCAATTGTCAGAAAATATAATATGCTTACGTTTCTTGGCAGTTTTCTGTTTTCTTTAACGGTTTTTCTCTTATGATCTTCTTTGGATGTGTTATTTATTATGAAATACTGTTGCTCTTTCCAAGACATGTTTCTAAAGTGATGGATTAGATTTTGTCGTGCTTCTTCTGTAAACTGGGTATGACATTTTTTTTTACATCCATCATTACACCCTGGCTTAAGTATATATTTAGATTCCATATCTTTCAGTTTTTTAATTTGTTTTCTCTGCGCCGGTGATTCAACATACTTCTTACGTTTTCTGATAGTCCCCTTTTTTGTGAAATTTTGTGGCGTATCTTCGTCGCTTGAGACTTCAGGTGACTCAGGAACAGTGACGTTAATTGACGGTGATTGGGGGATGGTATTTGTAGATGAATCTGAATCTTCTGAACATTTTGACGGATCTAAACTTGAGGGTAAATAATTTTTATCAAAAACTGAATCATCTGAATCAAAATCCAGGATGATGTCTGAGCTGATATGAAGATCCGCATCATTCAAAGAGTTATTTTCGTTCGTAGTAGATAAAGGCAGCTCATAATAATTAGTATTCAGGTTTGACTCCTGGGAAGAACTGGTTGATCGCACCATCGAAATTATTTTTGAGCATCGATTATGTCGCATTTTGTCACACTGAAACAAATAAATAAACAAAATACTTAGAAAAAATCACCGGCGCAGAAAAAATAAATGAAAAAACTGAAAGATATTATCTGAATACAAACTTTCATATCCAACTATACAAAAAACTCATTATGGTAATAATAAAACAAGATATAAATGTATAAACTGCAAACCTCTTCATTGTGATAGTTGGTACTCAACGGTGTAAACAAATTCGAAAAAAAGCGTTTAGCTAGATTAAGGTGTTGTTTTCTAACCGATATATTTAATATCGAAATATTTTAACATAAAAGTAGATATATTTATACTACACCTGATAGGTTTGCAGTTTTTTCAATCTTAAATTACTCATGGGTATGCTTAAATATACATAAATTATAATTCCAGGAAGTTTGACTTACGATTTTTCCGTAGTTATAGCTCGAAGAGCCGCGCGCGCGTGTTGTCACTCTGTCTGCCTGGACGCAACTGAAGCGCAGTATACCAACCGCGAGCCCCACTTCACCCCGCACAACTAGCAATACTAAGTAGGAAAGGCACTACTGCCACTTGCGCCTGCCCATTTTTCGTAATACTACGCTAAAAACGCACATCTACGCAGAACAGTCTTTTCTTCTTATGACCATGCAGAAGTAACTTTTCATTTTATGATGAATTAAATATTTTGTAAATAAATAGGACGCTTCTACTAAAATGCGTTTTTTCAACTTAGTGGACTTCAGAAACGTCTTTTCTATTTAGTTATATTTGATTCATATCGCAGATGCGTTTTATTTAACAGTAAGATTTATAGGGTTTCGTTTAATTTATGCGAAATATAAAAATACTGGTGGATGCCATTTTATTTACTGATTTAGAACATTTATGTAACTCCATTTCGAAAAAAATGTTAGATACGTCTTTTTTCCTTATGGCGGCAGATTAATACACACTGTGGAGCATTCTATCTTATTGCACCCCGGTTGCAACGTAAATGACACCGTATTTTATTCGAATTAGTTAGCAGGTCTCCGTGAGTTGTATTTAGCAGCTTCAAGAATACGGTTAGCGCATTTTCACTGTTATATCCTTATAAAATGCAATTTTATTTCTTTATCGGTAGTACCCAGCAGTGGGATCTTTGTATGCTTTAGTTACTGAATGAAATGCCAAAATTTTTGCGTATTTGTAATTTTTTACATAACGATGAGAAAGAAAAATAGGACAATAGAAGAATGGCTTATAATTCTTATATTACTCTAACCTTAAAATACTGTAAATAGTTCTAATAAATGATTATGCATGCACTAACTAATTATGTTTTTATAGAATAAGGGTGACAAACTCTCAGAAAATTCGCTTCATTTTAAATGGGTGCTGTGGCCCTTAGACATCAAAACTCAGATGCGTTGTCATCCCTGAGGACTAAAATAGAATGCTTCTTTGAATAAAAAGGGTTTTCGGTTTTCCATATTCACTATACGAAATCGATTAAGTTGCTATTTAACACTAGTATTCTGTGAGAGCGTGGTCCAATCCCGGCCCGGTCGAGCCGACCCATTCGTTCTCCGAGTACAACCAAATTATAGCTGCGGCATGGCATGATTTACGGCTCTTGCCGGCTAAAATGACGACTCAATTTAAAAATTTTGTGATAGGGACCTTATTATAATAGAAATGTTTCTTATATTTTAATACCCCAATTTGTTTAAAAAGGTGTAAATAATTAGTTAAGATTATACACAAAATTTTTATGTTTTTCCGTAATGTAACGTCTGATCCTATCTATTGTCCCAATTATTGATAATGTTCCAAGCCGAGAATCGTAGTTTTTTCATTAGAAGGGTCCATTGTTTTATGGCTTCTTTGTTCTTTTGAGTATTCTTTATTCACTAATTTGATTCGGGGTACAGCTAAGCCATCTGCACCTTCGCAATGCTTAGTATTCATTATATAGGTCGTTTTATTCCAAATCTTCACAAACATTCAATTATTCAAATAATTCAAAATTTCCTGTTTCTCGATTGTCTTTGACGAAACTGTATTGACTACTGGAATAACATAATACTACACATTTCAACATAAAATATTGATGCGGTTACAAATAGGGCGTAATAATAATAATTTTGTCCAAGCGTTGTTACGACCCTATTTCATTATTCTAGTTCAGTTGACAACATGAATAAAACAAAGGGTTCGGCGCTATCAATAACGAGATGTTTACGTTAAAGCCGAAAATCAAGAAGATGAATGGCAAGAGTAAACTGTTGAATCCATAATGTTTCATAACTTAACGAGTTGATTATTTACTTAACTACGCCAAATTAACAAAAATTATACCAAGCCAAAAATGCTCTCGAGTAGCACCTTCGTATTGTTAATCGAAGTGTAGGGTGGCCAGGCCAGCCGAGGATCATAGAATGTTACACTTATGTATTTCGTCACTTTTGAGGTTATCATGTAATAAGTTTACAGCCACGACCACAACCTCAGCTAAAACCATTGATATGAAAACTATGCAGTAATATATCCTAAACTATATATAAGTCAATAGCTAAACCATAAAAATGAGTCAATAATCTTTTTAATATTTCACTGTTATGTATCTAAGACACCTTTCATATTTTGTGTTTTTATTACTACTTGCATAAGTATCTCAGCCCATACAGTCTAACTGGAAGTGACTTATAAAATTATTTACAATATGTTGATGCCTTACATGCTAAGTTTTTAGGAAATTGCAGACAGCTTAAAAGACAAAAGACATCTACAAATTATGTTATATATAATACACTACAAAAATAAATATGAAATCTACAATTCAATTTAGTATTTTAAAAAAGTAAACGCATAATGGTAGTGTTTTTTTTATAGGATAAGGGTAACAAACGAGCATACAGTCCACCTGATGGTAAGTGATTTCTTTGGCTCATAGACGTCTACATTTAACCTGGATTACGAATCGAAATGCAGATGCGTTGTCACCCGTGAAGACTAAGATGGAATGCCTCGTTTCCAGTTAAAAGGGTCTCCGGTTCTCTACACTCACCACACGAAACACAGCAGCATTAAGCTGCTATTTTACGCTGGTATTCTGTAAGAGCGTGGTCCTTCCCCGATCGAGCCGACCCATTCGTGTTACAACTATACCAGAAATATAGCTGCAGCATGGCTCTACCACGTGACCGAAAATATAATAGTTCCTAAAAGCTTTTACAAAAATTTTTATAAAAAAATAAACCGCTAAGCGGTTAGCCACCGTAGAGTCTATATCACCTGAGGATGCCTCGTGTAGAGGCGAAACACGTGTCGTATTATCGTCAGTGGTGTGTCTTGCCTAGTGTAGTGGTGTTGGAAGTAGCGGTGCTGGGATTAGTGGTGACGGGGTTAGTGCACGCAATTGAGGGAGGGCGGGAGGTGCTTCTTCATACTAGGTAAGACACATCATTTTATTTTATAACGCGGATATTTGCGAAGTAAATTTTTGTAAAAGCTTTTATATAATGGATTTCCGCAAAGTAACGCCTGATTCTATTAATTATAATAGTTCCTTTCAAATGACTTCATTCGGTGCCAAAAATATAATAAAGGACGGTTTTATGCCTACATTTGAAGTTCAGAGCCAAGTATACCAGTTGGTTGGAAGTTTGTTGCCAGCACCTCAAAGGAAACCACAATTTTACACATATATTTTGTTGGCGAAGACGACAGAAAAGTACAATTGCGGTGTAATAACCATCCTTATGTGAAATCTGGCTTAGTCAGGCAACTACAAGGAATGCTACACACGTCTAATGCTTATGTAAGAGACTTCAATATCGCCCTGGACAAGGTACCTGCAACGTCTACAACATCCAAAGTAGTCATTAATGCCGAGAGGAAGCCACCAGACAGCGATTCGGGTCGCTTCAATGCACCTACGTCAAATGAGGCCTTAGTAATGGTTGATAAACAATTTGAGAAACAAGGATAGTGTCTTTCCTTGAGAGCCACGATAACTCATTGTAGCGCATTAGTGAGATCTAACGTTCGTGCGACGCCCTGCATTATCCGCTTTTGTTTTGCCGTGGCGAGGATGGGTACTCCATTTCTTTACGACCAATCAAGCTACGTACTTTCAATTCTCATATTAATGTGGTGTACTGCAGCTCTGTTAAGTCTATCAAGTATATTTGTAAATATGTGAACAAGGGTAGTGATCAAGCAGCCTTTACTATAGAGAATGAGAAAGATGAGGTGAAATGTACGAAAGCGGCCGGTACATAAGGAGTTTTTTATACGTGGTAAAGCCATGCTGCAGATAGCTGCATAATATAGATTAGTAGTATAGTTGTAGCACGAATGGGTCGGCTCGACCGGGGCAGGACCACGCTCTCACGGAATACCAGCGTAAAATGGCAGCCTGACACTGCTGTGTTTAGTATGGTGAGTGTAGAGAACCAGAGACCCATTTTACTAGAAAATGAGGTATTCCATTTAAGTCCTCACGAGTGATGACGCATCTGCATTTTGATTCTTTATTGTAGATGTCTATGGGTCACAGCAACCACTTACCATCAGGTGGACTGTGTGCTCGTTTGTCACCCTATCCTATAAAAAAAAAATTTCCGTAGCAGTTTGGAGGATCCTAAGCTTCCCTATTCAAGAATGGTTCCTTCCCGTCTTACATCTTGCTGTTCACCTTGAAAACGGCCAACGTGTATACTTTACCTTTAATAACCTGTCAGAAAAAATAAAGAGTCCACCGCATACAACGCTGCTAGTTTTTTTTTTATAGAATAGAGGGCAAACGAGCATGCGGCTCACCTGATGGTAAGTGACTACCGCCGCCCATGAAAAACCGCAACACCAGGGGAATTGCAGATGCGTTGCCGGCCTTTTAGAAAGGTGTAAGCTCTTTTCTTGAAGGTTCCTAAGTCGTATCGGTTCGAAAAATTCGCTGGTGGTAAACTATTACACAAAGAAGTTGTGCGAGAGAGAAAACTTCTTCTACATCACACAGTGGTGGACCGCCAATCATC